TTGGGGTGGGGGGGGCTCCAGCACTTTGCCACAGGCATGGGGAGGATTTTCCCCACCCTTTGCCCTCCCAACTTGGGTTGTACTTTCTAAGAAGGTGATTTCCCCTCCACTGTCCCCCGTCCCCAGAACAGAACATGTTGATCATGTGCAATATTTCTTTACTGTGCCGAGAAGCCGCAATGACCGAGATTAAAGCCGTTTAACACACCAGAGGCTGCCGGCGTGTTTCTCAAGCGCTGCTGCCATGCTGCTTTTCCCAGGCCATCATGGGGCAGTTCCAAGACTGCCACTATGCCATCAATAGCCTGTTAGGGTCAAGGGACTTTGGGCTGACATCTTTGCCTCTGTGAGTGAGGCAGCCTGGGCAGTCTTGAGAACTGTGCCCGCCTGCCTATCCAGCAGGCAGCAGCTTGGTAGACAGACCGTGTGCTGTGAGAAAGGTACTTTACCACTACTGGTCATAGTTGGTTTCACTCAAACATTCCAAGAGGCACAACTCAGGAGGCCAATTTGGGGCCATGGGCTATCTATCCTCAGTGACTGACTGCTGCCAGGAGAGGAGTCCACCTGAGACAGAGTTAGCCTCTTGTGCGCAGGAATTAGTCGTGGAGGGTGTGGAAGGTCTCAAGTGGCATCTGAACTTGGGCCAGGGCACCAGGAAGTTAGTATCAGCTGGGACTGCTCCCTGAAGGGACAGCTTGGGGGTGATGGTGGGATTTGATGGTGTTGGGACACTTGCAGAGATTATGCCAACTGACTTTGATCCCAATGGTAATAATGGCAAACTGGCTCCACCCAGAACTTGCCCAAAGCATACTACTGAAATTCAACTGACTGCAAGAACCAGAATGTCTTGGTGGATTAATGATGTCTGCTTCAGGTACAATTGAAACACCCGAATTAACTACAGGGTCTAGGATCTGGCTGATGGTGGTACCTAGACGAGCCTAGCCATAAAGAAAGAAACGAGCAGGAGGAGGAAAAGAATTTAATGTCATGGGAAGGAAAGACACTTAGGGTGTGGTCTCTGACAGAGGGGTGCCTTGGCCCTGGTCTTGGGCCAGGAGTCGAAGAAGCAAGGAGTGCAGGGCCCGGCAAACAGGTGTGTACCCCAAGCGGCTCAGATGTAGGTAATCGTACATGTCATGGTGGCTAATGGTGCCGTCAGAGTGCACAAAGCCAGGGTCTGCATCTAAGAAGTGGGCTCGGGGGTGGCCAGCTAACGCTGCCCGGACCAGCTCGTTTACCTGTCGGTTTTTCTCCCGAAGTGGGTTGGGGTGCTGGCCCCTTGGAAGCAGGCCCTGAGGAGGAACACCAACAGTAAGTTGTCAGATCAGCATCCCTGAACCAAACTGTCCACCCCAGGAACTTCTCAACTGTAAAATTGTTTAGGGATGTGAAAATAGAATAGTTCTGGATACCACATCCCAGCTCCAGAGATGACTCATAAAAGCCATGCCCAGGGTGGTCTCTTCAGAGGTGGAAGTGTCTTAGCTACAAGTGATGACCCTTCACTTACTCCAGGACTGTCTGACAAGTTTTTTGAGTTTTCTAATACTCAAAATACCCAGCATCCCTTTGGGTAACAGGCTAACTGGTCCCTGAACACATCCTCAGTCACAACCACTCTTTGAAGACAGGGTCTCTGCACAGCCCCTTGCTGTCCTCGCTGCATAGACCAGGCTAGCCTCTTAACTCACAGAGACCTGCCTGCCTCTGCCTCTGCCTCTGGAGCACTGGGGTTTAAGGTGTGTGCAATCACACCCAGCTCATAGCCACTCTTTTTTTTTTTTTTTTTGGTTTGAGTGTGGAAATCACCCACCAGACACTTTTCTGGAAAGCCATTGTGCCAAGTTGCCTTTCAGAAGTGTGTCAAGTACAGCTAGCTGCTTCTTGGGGGTCCCACATCACAACCACACTTTTTTTTTTTTTTTTTAAAGACGGGGCCCTGTTGTGTTGCCTGGAATAACCTCAATCTGTAGGATCCGCCTGCCTCAGGCTCTAGAATGCCACAATTACAGGTATTGGCCACCATGACCGGCTGCCACTTTTCCTTTCCCACCCTCCCAAGCTCTCACCAGCACAACCACCCGTGCCTGGGGCTGCAGCTTGTTCACAAGTTGTACAATGGCTTTGATGCCACCTGTCACCTGCTCGGCTGTGTGGCTGTGGTTGTTGGTGCCCACCCAGACCACTACAATCTGTGGAAAGAGTGACACAAGGCAACCGTGAGGAGCAGGCAGAAGGCGTGTTAACTCACCACCCAAGCCTTGCTCACCTTGGGCCGGATGTGCTCCAGCTCCCCATTCTCCAGCCGCCAGAGTACATGCTGTGTGCTGTCCCCACCAATGCCAAAGTTAAGCGCGTGCAGAGGAGAGAAGAGCTCCCGCCAGATCTGTGGGCAAGAAATGATGTATGCACTGGTCACCAACCTTTGCCCGGCGGATTACTAAACGCTAGCTACTGTGGATTAACCCGACTCTATGAACGAAGTCTGGTGAAATCTCACCTCAAATAAAACTCCAGTAGAGAAAACTCCATTTTATGGAACCTATTAGTGTCTTGCTTTCACCAAGACCCTGCAGAAGTTACATTTCATTTTACAAAAATCCTGTCTGCTTGAGCCATACATGGAGTGCGGAACAGCAACACAACTGAATCTCACGGTGAAAAAAGCCATTATGGCCTACCTGTCTAGGCAAAGATTTGATGACTGACAGTCTTTGCGGAATACCATTATAACTGACCTTCACTTTCTGTAAAGCTATTACAACTTTGTGTAAACCCAACAGGGGATGTGCTCTACTTTAAGCAAACAATAAAAAGCCTCACCTTAGGCAATCTCGAAGGAAATTGTCAATTTAAGCCTTGATAAAGCCAAACCCAACCCGACAAACTCAACACACACACTCCACTCTCAGCAGAATATTGCATTTACAGGAGATTGTTAGATTCCTGCTACCAGGAGCATTTCTGTACCCCACTACTTTGTCCGGCCTGAGGTCTGGACCCAAAGTGCTAATGAGGCTACATGCGTGTGTGAGGAAGGGCAGACCCTCACCTCACACTGGTGCATTAGCTGGACCAAGGAGTCCCCGATGAAGACAACTTCTGGTTCCTTGTCTTTGCTGTCCGCCACGAATCGATGGTGCTGCAGGGAAACCAAGAGTCACTGGCACGCATGCTCCAGGCCCCGCCCCACCCTGCTTGCACAGGTTGGACAATCAAAACCTG